TAAAAAGATGCAGAATTTTTTTGCGCTATGTTACCTGACCACGATTTCTTTGACCTTGTTGTCTGCTAGCTGCAAAATTTGCACTCATCAACAACTTAAAATAGCACAATGTTTACCAAACTAGCTATTGTCATCATTTCCAGTCGTTGTCTTGTATTCAATGTTTTTGAGAGTGAGAAGTTGTGTAGGAGGACAGGAGTAAGGAAGAGATGTATGATCCAAGACATACACGAGTTATAAAAATTGTGCAATTGGCTTGTTTCTACATTTTTAAAAGACTCAAATCAGCATCGTAGAAAAACCTTAAGCTTGAGATTGTGCGTGCCGCTCGCTTCTTTTCAAAGTTTCAGAGCTGAAATCTTGCCAAAGCCAATAGAGATCCTTAGAAAATTTTTTGGGGTATCTTCCATAAAATTTTTGTCGCAACTTCCACTCCGATAGCGGAAAAGCTTCTTGGCTTACCACGTCTGTGCAAAGAGGTATAAAAGAACTCAAAGTCAGAGGTAAAGAATAAAATCTAAGACTTACAGCGCTCAAAAAGCTGACACTAAGTTTTGCACCTTTCGTACCTTTCAAACAGTGTCTTGCACGGATCCGGAAATGTTCGTGTTCCAAACGAACCTGCGATGATACGCTTGGCTCTCATATTGTTCTTATAGTCATCGCTTTCCAAAAATCGAGCTGAGTAGTACATCTGCAAAAAATAACCATAGTATTCGTGCAAAACTCAAAACAATGAGAAACCTTTCCATCCACAAAATGATAGCGCTGTATGTATGCCATACCATCGAACCAATGTTTGTATTCGGTATCGCCAATTTTGAACATGCCTGGACCATTTCGAAGTAAGGTGCCTTTCAGCCATGATGGCACTTCACCTGCAATTATGAGATATTATTTTCAACAAGAGAATTTTGGTTCCATACATACAGTTGATAGTCAAAAATATTATGATTCTTGAGCTTGTATTCTAAATCTTCTTGGTCTTCATTGGTTACGTTTGTAACTGTGTTCCTAAGCAAGTATTGCTGAAGAATAATCTTACATTTCGAATTTGATTCATTTCGGTCCTAAATTTATTTAGGAGATTACAGAACTTTTCGCACGACAATTATCCTTATCTGAGAAAATATTTGAGAAAATTTCAGAGATTTTTCGCAACCTTCTAACCCTCAAAAAATTTCTCAAGTCTGAACCAAAGCTGCAAAGCTTTTGTAAATGACAAATGAGTGGTTCTATTATTCCTCTGACAGTTCTGTATTTTTTTTTTCAAAATCAACCATCCTTGGTCCCCACTTCTGGAACAGCATATGTAGCTGCTATTTACGAGTAAATACTTTTTGATGAATTCACTTTGGTTAGATGAATTTATTCACACTAATTCATTGAAATTTATTTTATCAATAGAAATCTGTTTAGCATTCAGAATAGACGTTTCTCACCTATAAGTTTGCATTCCTCAACATCGGCATTCTTAAAATTTTCAAAAAGTCTCGCAAAAGTCATGGAAGGAGACTCCTGCAAGGAAGGAAGTTCTATAGAGACAGTGAATTGATCGTGTGAAGTATGGAAGTGACCAAAACGATATAAAGCAGTG